TATACGTCTGTTAGTCTATAAGGTGCCACAGGACTCCTTGCTGCTTTAGCTTTATAGTTAGGAGTGGGGTTTTGTGGAGGAGGGGGAGGGTTGGCCTGCCCCAGCAACCAGCTTCTCAATAGAAAAGAACTGAAAGATAACTTTTCAGTGGTCTCATACAGGCTACAGATTATAAGTGGTACAAGCACCAAAACAGGCAAAACCCTCACCTTGTCTAAATCAGCATAGGTCCAGTGAAGAAGATGGACCTATACTTGTTTACACTAGCTGGGGCTCAGGCCCAACGTGTTGTGGGATAACAATACATTCAGTTAGTTACAAAAGAATTTGCAATAGGAGGAAGAGGACCTAGGCTCAAAGGTGGAAGAATTTTAAAAATACTCACAATGTGGAGAAGCTGGAAGGGTATTTTTAAGCTATAATGCTTATAACTGTTCTGTGTAATTGCAAGGGACTTGGTAATACATCTAGGTGTAATTAACTGTCAATGATACAAATAGTGTATGTGGAAGCTTCTGTCTGTGAAACCAGAGTCTAGCAATTAGTGTCATATGCCTCAATTTGTCTTACCACACTTACCTTTTCTTTTCCACTATTAATCAGCATTAAACTAATTCATACATCACCTATACAGTCATCTAAGCTGCAGCCTCTCATACTGAAATTGTATGTTCAAATTCAAATGATTAACAGTTGTAATCACCCCAACCAACACCACATGCTTGGGCTTCATAAGGTGCCTCTATACATGAGGAAAATCTAGTGGTCAGACTTCTGCTGATATCTGTTATCGTGCTCACCTATGTACTCATGCATACAAGCCATGTTTTCCCATCTATTATGTACTTCTGTATTTAAACATACCTGGAACAGTGATATTTACACAAGAACCCTGTTAATCAACTCTCTACAATACCAGTTGCCCACCTGTATGCCCAGGACAGAGTCTGACCTCACGTTGGTATACAGGGACAGTAAGTCAATAGCGTTACTTCAGATTTACTCTAGATCAGACTCTAGGCCACAGTGTCTATGAAAATGGAGGAAAGGGGAGCAGTCCCAATGTCTGGTCAGGTGATCCATCATTTAAAAAACAAACGTATCTCATGTCTGAGTGACGTCTACACAAAATTCCCCTACTGTTAACAAAAAAAGTTGGACATTCACAAGAGCCATTTACATAGTGGGCAGAATTGCTAATCACACAGAATGTTCAAGGTGAGGCTTATGCTCAGCCAGATTTGGCTCTCCCGTTGTTTTAAATCCAGTCCTGTCCCAGGGGACCTTCAGCAGAGAGGCTCACCGATCGGGGAAGTATTCGGTAGGAAGTTCTTTGGCTGAAAACCCCCTGCTGGAGTGAAGAGCAAAGAGATACTCCCAGGGCTAGTAGCACCAGCAGATAGGGGAAGTGGATGAGGGAGAGACAGGTACATGGAATGATTTTTACCAAGTGCTAAGCTTAGGTCTGAGGTGTTCAGCTGAAGTTGATGATTCCGATTGGATTTGAAGGCTGTTCTCAGTAGCAGTTGAGTCCATTGCAACCTTAAGCATCTCAGCTCAAGAAAAATCTCAGAATCGTCAAGTGATCAGATGCTGAAGACTAAGGTTTTCTGTTAAAGGAGAGTATGAAGAACTCCGTGGTAAAGCTATGAAAATGCAGCTTCTGTTTGCTGCCAGTTAGTTCTGAGAGTCTGGGTTTTCAGCAATGTGAAAAAATTAAACAAATTGTTTGAACTTTGAAAATGACTTACAGATGGTGCTATCAGAGATTCAACTAAACATTGCATGATGATGGAGTTCGAAACAGGCCCATCCTCACTAAAATTGCATGCTGTTTCTGAACACACCAAAAAAATCCATATTTTCATATTTTTTAAAACCCATATTAGATTGGATTATATAATTAAACTGTATTTAGTTGAATAAAGTCACAAAACCATCTGCACTGTGTGAGTGTTGAATCTAGTGTCCTGAGCTGGTTAAAAATAAAATAAATATGTAGTTTTAGGGAGCCACCAAGTTTTAAAATTGCTGTAAGGTAGCCGCAGTGCTAAAAGTTTGGGACTCTCAGAGTCAGAGGGCGATGTCAGCCTTGAATTCTCTTAGCTGGTTTTGTTTTCCATGCTCTCACAACTCAATTAAATCTCTCCCCTTTTTTCTGATGCTTCCTTTTCTTCAGACACTAGTCAATTATGATAGTTGGAGAAAAATTCATAGTAATTACAGCGTCTCAAAAGTTGCTAATGAAAAGTTACAAAGGGATTGCTGCAACTTCTAGACCATCTACATTGGGGATCTTCTATAATTTGGCTATTATATATTTTCCGTACCTGTGTTTTGTCCCCTGTTATTCTGGAGTCAGACAGATACACTTCATGCAGCACTATCACTTCCTCCCCTCACAGTGCCTTGGCAGTGTGGCCAGAACTTGCTCAGATAGGTTTGCCTCTCAGGGCCAGTCTCAGTGTACATTGATAAATCTCCATCAAAGCCAACCGTGCTATGTTGACTTAGCCCAGCTGAAGATCTGGCTCTCTTGGCTTTACTGCTCGCTCAATGCAGATCTTGAGTAGAAATGTTTATACCAAAACAAGACAACCCCTCTCATTCAGCCTGATGTGATATGCAGAAAATAGCTTCCTATAGCCACCTTCATGCTTCTCTTCAGAAATGCAGTCTTATCAAGTCCAACACAAATATAGGTAAGTAATACCAGGTGACCCTTCCTCAAAGGGAAAGGTAGTGTGGGGAAAAATCATTATCTAGTCTTCCTAGTGAGGCCTAGATTTATTTTCATGTTTATGTTT